GGGTTTCTCTGGCCTTCTATCGGCAATTCTTGAGGTCCCACGGGTTCCTAGGGTTCTTGTATGTGCCTTGGAAGTTTTCCACAAAGATCTCCTTTAGGTCCGCCCAACTTTAGATTCTATCGGACGGGAGGTGTTCCAACCATGTTCTTGCCAAATCGGCCAAGAACAATGGAAGGTTACGGATAATGAAGTCGTTATTATCCACACCACTGGCTTGGTAGGAAAGTCGATAGTCCTCAAGTCATAGTCCGGGGTTTGTTTCCCCAGAGTAGTTTAGGATATTGGTTGGTGGTCGGTACCTTAGTGGGAAGGCAGCGTTGAGGATGTGTCGTCCGAAGGCCTGAGGCCCCGGTAGGCTATGGGCTCGGGCTTCGGTCCTCATCGCTGTCGTAGCATCCACCATGATGAGGGTGATAATCGTGGCTAGCTCCCTCTCTTGGGTCATTATAGGCACGTCTGTGGGCGTCGAGGGTGTTGCGTGCATCACAGTTATGGCCGAGATGCTGACGCACCAGGACCGTAGTGTGCTACCTACTCCCTTGTGGCTCCTGGTGGATCGACGTGTCCCTACTGGGGTGCTCGACGGCGTGTGCTGGCTGGTGTTGAGCTCGCGTCATCGAGACAACGAGCACTCGGCCTGTTGTGTCGCCTCACGCTCGAGTAGCGTGTGAATCTCGTGGTGGGCCCGATGACCCTCGGGCGTCACGGCCTCTGGCAGACCACGAAGCAAGGCCGCCGCAGCGGTGATGTTCTGGCTCGCCCGGGCGAAGTGAGGGAGGGCTCCTTCATCGATGATGATCCTCTGGTTTACATCGTGGGCCATGGCGCATGCGCACCCACTGTCTCCGTGGCGCTCGATCTCTCGATTGAGCTCCACGCATTCTTGCTCGAGCTAGAGTCGCGCTTCCTTGATCTCTCGGTGTCGGGTTTTCAGCTGCTCCACCCGCATGTGAGGTGGGGCCGCTATCTCCCCCTCGGCCTCATTGTCAAGGTCATTCGCCAGGGTAGCCTCCTCCTCATGGATGCCTTCGACATGTCCCTCGGGCATACCTATCATGAAGCATTCATGAGAGGGGTGATGGCTTCCCCTGCTAGAGTCAGAGCCAGAGGGTGACTCCGGCTCCTCTACGAGGAGGTCATGGAAAGACTCCATGATGTGTTTGATCACCCCCATGAACTCATTGTTCGTGGGGATAGGATCATGCGCTGCGCCACAAGGTGGCCAACGATCTCTGCGGCGTTGTAGAGACCGAACAGAGCACTATCAGGGCGCTTCGAATGAGGTGTTCTGGGGAGAATGGCTCCCTCATGGTAAGTTGTGCCATGACATTGGCGAATGAGAAGGTGAGGTGGCACAGGTCCTCCTAGGACGGTTGGAGTCCCAGGAAGACGCCGAGCTGACGCTCCAACCTTCCATAGTTGAAGTCGAGGAGCTGGCCGCTTCCGGGGGCGCGGGCCTTCGGTGCATGCAGCTGCAGCTCCTCGAGCATCTCGGTGTTCACGTCGAGGCCGGTGGAGTGGAAAGGTTGAACGACAACGGACGCCTGCGCCATCTCTCCCTCCGCCGTGACGATGAAGTCCAAGTCCTCGAAGCGCATGTGTGAGCCCGAGACCCAGCTGATGCCATGACTAGCCATCCATGGCCTGATGTTAATGCCGGGACGCGCAAAGACCCCTACCTAGCGCGGCAACTATCGATGTTTCGAGTAAACACCAACGAGTAAATTTGTGTTATTACGCGTCTGGTCCGGATGGTGTGCTAAAAAGACACAAGGTTTATACTGGTTCGGCCAGAATGTTCCTACGTCAAGTTCATGGCTACTGTTTATGTTATTAGCACTAAAAAGTTCATAGTAGGGGTTACAAACAGGCGAGAGAGGGACATGTCCTAAGTCTCTGATGGAAAGGTCGAATGGGTGCAGAGAGCTTGGTCGCTGTTCATCTATGTGTTCGAGGTTAGTGGTTCTGCTGTGATGCAGCGTTATACATGATGTCATGAATCGATCCCTTAGTGGGGTTCCGTGCTTTTCCTTTTATAGGCCAAGGGAAAGCATGGGTTACAGTGAGAGAAAAGAAGAGAGAGAGAGAGAGAGAGTTCGAATGTACTCGTGTGCTCCTAAGTCTTGTTGCCCACGCTATAGATACAAGACGGTCGTAAGCGCCCATAATACTATTTATGTTAGATGCATGTGGCAGGCTTTACCGTATTCGCCTGGTATGGCAAATGACGGCGCCCACAACACTGTAAGGCAAATGTCGACGCCCACAACACTGTTTGGGTTCTAACATGCCGGGAAGGTTGTAAAGCACCCTTCTGGCATGGCCTGATGGTACTATCCTGCAGGTGTACAGGGTATGGTCCCTCGGTATTGCATTTGACTTGAGCGCCTTGCCTTATCTGCTCTGCTTGATTCTTGGGTCACACCTTCTGGACCGTAGTGGTTGTTGTGAGCTTCCATAAAGATCCATGCCCGAGGGATCGGGCGAGGAAGAGCCAGCCCTCAGACATTGGGCCAGGCGGACCTAGCCCTCGGGGGTTGGGCGAGGCAGAGCCAGCCCTCAGACATCGGGCGAGTCAGACCCAGCCGTCGAACGTCGGGCAAAGCGGAGCCAGCCCTCAGATGTTGGGCGAGGCGGAGCTAGCCCTCAGACGTCGGACGAGTCGGACCCAGCCCTCGGGGATGGGCGAGGCGGAGCCAGCCCTTAGACGTCGAGCAAGGTGGACCCAGCCCTCGGGGATAAGGCGAGGCGGAGCCAGCCCTCAAACCCTGAGGGCGGCTCTTAGATGTTGAGCGAGGGCACCCAACCCCTCGGGGGCAGTCAGGCCAGCATGGCAGCCTGGCGTCCACGAGGCGGAGCCAACCCTCGGGGGTTGGACGAGGTAGAGCCCCTGGCCTTGGTGGCCGGACAAGGCGGAGCCTAGCAAGAGGTGCTGTCGCACTCTTGATCGCTTAGATGAATCAACGTTGATGGTTATTAACTCCTCTTCGGGTACCCTGGTATTGGTCCCCGACAATTATGGAGTTAGGGAGAGGTTTACATCCATAATGCCACATGGGGACATTTGCAAGGACAAGATAAGTTTTCAAAGATGTTTACATATGGTATCTTTTAGCATTATATAACATTGCCCTTTGCATTGCATCCTAGCAAGTAAATAATTTTTGAATTCTTAAATTTTTATTGTTTTGCTTGCTTTGGTCGTGTTGTCATTAATCACCAAAAAGGAGGGAGATTGTAAGGAAAATGGACCCTAGGCCCATTCACTTTGGATTTTGGTGTTTATGATCAACACAACCAAATTGAACTAATGAATTTGCAAGTAATTGTTTTATAGTTCAATAGGGTGCAAGACGTGACTTGAACGAAGGCAACATGATGATCCGATGATCAACACCTCAAGCAAGATCGTAGAAGCATAAGAGAAGACCCAAGATATCAAACAAAGTCTAAGCACGAAGATAGGAACCAAACCGAACGCAAGATAGTGAAGAAACGAGCTTCACAGAGGTGACCGAACGCGGACCTTTATAAGGACCGAACGCGTCCGATCTGTTGCTTTCGGCAACAACAAGCGTTAGCAGCAGCGACCAGACGCTGAGCAAGGTAGTGACCGGACGCACGGACTTCACTGTTCATCGTCGCGGCAACAATTCAGCGTGACCGGACGCAGCGGCATAGGACGACCAAACGCTCAGAGTCCGATCAACGTGCGTGCTTCGACGGTCGGGACGACCAGACATGTCTAGTCAGACGACAGCAGCGTCCGGTCAGTAGCAGAAAGCTAGGTTTCGCCCCGAACGACTACTTTCTCTATGGGCTTATAAATAGACTCCCCAACCGGCCATTTGAGATGTGGAGAGTTGAGAAAATATATTAAGAGTGTTGATACATCATTTTAGTAATCTCCACTTGCATAGTACCTAGTGATTCATTAGGTGATTAGTGTAGGTGCTTTGCGAAGTGTTTAGATTGATTAAACCACCGCTTATGCGCTTGCTCTAGATTTAGGCCTAGTGTTTAGTAAGGTTTGCATACCTCTTACCACTCGGTGTTTGCGCGCACCATTGTTGTACATCGTAGGGGTTTGTAATCTTGCAAGATCACACCAACCGCGTTTGTGGTGTGGCTGCCACCGTGTACCGAAGGGAACAAGGCCCGCGGTGGTTCGGTCGAAAGCTTGATGGTGAAGACGGCGGGAAGCGGTTCGGGAGAGGCTTTCCGGAAGGCATACCGGAGACCCACTTACGCGTGGGGAAGGCCCGAGCTATCCACGGAGTTATTCGACCGGGAGCTTTGCCCTTACGAGGCATTCCTTGCGAGGGGCTTCAACGAGGACTAAGGAGAAGCTTGCGCGCTTCTCGATAACTCGATAAAAATACCAGAGTCGTCGACGGGAGTTTGCATATCTCTACCTTAGTCTTTAGCCTCCGCATTTACATTGTTTGCATACCTCTTTTTTTCGGTAGAGATAACAACACACTAGCAAAACCGTAGTTGCACATTTAGATAGTTTATCTTTTGCATAGGTTTTGATAAGAATAGAAAAAGAGACCATAGTTTAGAGTTAGAGTTTTAAGTTGCTTAATTCACCTTCTCTTAGGCGTCACGGTCCCTTACGGTTAAAATTTGTGTGTACCTAGAAAATATATTTGTGTTAGATGGACGATATACTTAAAGTATCATATGATATATCGTTGAATCTATTTTTATAATATATTTATTTAAAGATATAAATGTTGGTAAATCTAGTCACAGATACCGTAGCCTCACTTATTTTTTTGTCGGAGAGAGTACGTTCTACCCATCTAAGCCCATCCAATGGCACGTATGCACAATCAACCAGCTTAAAGATAGGACAAGATCGAATTCAATATATATATATATATAATATAATAATAATTATCAATCAAGAACACCAGCTGCTACCCTCAATCGTACTATGCAGAATACATGCTCCAACCAAATACAGACCAATGCAATGCAAGCAGAAGCTACTACTAAATCCATAATGCAAATGGAACAAATAAGTTATATCTATGCCTAGACAATAGGAAGGAGCGCGTGGAGCGGCGATTCGTGATGCGTAGCTCTCCACTGCGATCATACTTGAGGCCAAACATGGTGAAACGGAGCTGGCGAGCCGAGCAGTAGTCCCGGTCCTCGTCGTCGACTCCATCTGGCATCATGGTCTGTACAACGCAAAACTTGCTTGTGCCCCCCATCATGTTCATGTAGGTGAGAGAGGCGCTACCGCGCCTGTCGGTCCAGTCCTCGTAGTCGTAGGCTAGCTTCTCCTTGGTCATTAGGATCATAGATGATTCGCTGGTGCTGCTACGGGAACGGGAGGCGACTTGGCAGGAACAGACGTAGCCCTCCCAGTGAAGGCCGACCCATGCGTCCAGCTCGCTGTCGAAGTAGCCCTGGCCAAAGAAAGGCAGAGCCCAATCCCCATGGCTCCTCCACTCCGAACGCTCGGTGTTGAAGGAGTAGGTGCCCAATGGTTCGCCTGGAGTGCCCCCGTCAGCCATGGTCATGAAGATGGTGCATCCGTCAGGGTGCAGCGCGTGGGAGACGACAATCTGACGGCTGGTGAACGACGGTGGTGGTTCCGGCAGGGTCTTCCAGGACCAGCCGCCGCCCTCCTGCTGCATCACATGGAACGAGCTCGGATCCTCCTTGTCGAAGAAGCGATGCGACAGTGCGTAGAGCATGCCGCCGGCAGGCACGGTGACGCCGGAGCCGCACAGCATCCGAGCAGGGGCGTGGGGGCCGATGGACACCACCGCCGTCTCGGTGTCATACACGAGGGCGCAGCGGTGGTTCATGAAAACCAACATCTTGGTGCCTAGCGCGGAGAAGGACACACGGTCATGGGGTACGGAGCCGATCGGTGACTCTAGCCGCAGCACTGGGGGCTCCGGGAGGTGCTGCTGCCCCTGCCCGGCACCGGCAGGTGATTCGTCATCCAAACTGTCGGGATCAATCTTGTGGATACTGAAGCCATTGTTCCAGTCATCCAGCACCAGGTACAGGTGCTTACGGCGGCCGGCGGCGTGTCGATGGCGGCGGCAGTGGCGCAGACTTGGCCTCGGCTCGTCGTCCTGGCCTACGGCTCGCCGCTTACTGGACATCGCGTCGCCCCACCTCCTGATCCCGGCCCGGCAATAATCTTGTGAATTTATGGATGGCAGGTGCCTGCAGCACGTTTACATACATCAACAAACATGATGGATTGGGAATTTGGGATACGATGAGAAGAGGGGAGGAGTCGGACTTTTACCTACGGTAACCGGGCGCGGATCGAAATCGGAGACAACGAGGAGAGGGAGGATTCACAGCGGCGGCGGATCAGAGACCGGAGGCGAATCGACCGCCGGATCCGAATAAAAACGGGCGACGGCGACGACGCGGCGCACGGCAAGGACGACCGCTCGGCGAGGACGGTGACGGTGCAGCAGTCGATGCGGCCCTCCGGTGGAACTACGGAAGACGGTGGCGGCGATTTTACCTATCCACGAAGCTCTCGGCATCGGCAGGACCTTGTGTGGGCTACGATGGGCCTTGCCATTTGTGCAGCCCATGCCACTTTGGCATACCTATCGCAGATATCGCGACTGCGTCCTGCAGTCGGTTCGTGTGAAGTTAGACGATCTCGTTCCTGCTCACCAGGCTGCACAGCCGCACCCCGCACGCGCAAGACACTGTTCACGCTCACGTATATGTACAGAACGAGTTAAAAAAAACAAAACACTAGTACCCTACGTACTGCCCAACTGTTTGTACAATACCAGAAGAATGGCTAACACCTACCAAAATAAATTTAACGAATAGCAAATGGTGCATCCCTGCCGCTTTTGGAGACCACTCTAATAAATAAATAACCGATGGTGCATCAATGCTGCTTTCGGATAACAAAAAGTGTGGTACGACATAGCTCTATTTTCTCATTCCTATATATAGGCTAATACAACCTAGCTGAGCTATCGCACTAGTACAACCTTAGCCAAAAATCTCTTCAAACTTCAATGGTGTTATCTGGGGAGCAAAAAAGATTTCTTTTTCTCGTGACTGTCAATTAACTCCACTCATCTCGGTTACAATGGTCTGCCTGCCTCTGCTTGGTATTTGGCCTGTAACCAGGTCTGGAAAAAAAATCTCAATCCTGTAAAGCTAAATCATCTCAGCTTGTTTCTGTCCCGGCGTCACTCTGGAAAGCTAAATCATATATTTCACCGTATGTGTCAACAAAACGAACTTCGAGGCCTTCCTTCACATTAGAAGCAAGCTCGTCAAAGTCCCTTTTATTCGCTGCTGGAAATATGAGTGTCTTTATCGCACTTCTCCTTGCCGCAATCGTTTTCTCTTTTACCTGATATATAGAGAAGAAACAAGAGTGAGTGTCCAGTGATCCGATGCATGAAACCTTATTGATATCACCATGGCATGCTGAAGCACATGGGTGTTAACATTAACTCATTAAGGCACTGTCATCTGCTTGGATGTCACCTAGCACCTGAAAACTAAGCCTATCATTATATCAGGAGGCTCGAAGATGAAACAAGGAAACCACTTCATATTTCTCAGTCAAGTGACATTTCCTCGTTTCACATGCAAAGTCATTGGCTGGCTGGTCTTGTCTAAAAACAAATACTTTTAAAATGTAAAACCAAGCTTGAGTAGGGAACAAAGAAAACATACCCCGCCGATTGGTAGGATTCTTCCAGTTAATGTTACTTCACCCGTCATTGCAAGGTCCTTCTTGACAGGCTTTCCCATAGCTAAGGACAGCATAGATGTTATCATGGTGCATCCAGCACTAGGGCCATCCTTAGGGGTGGACCCTGCAGGAACATGCAAGTGCAGCTTCGAGTTTGCAAAGAACTGATTATCTGGCTCTTTCTCCAGTAATACAGCTCTGCCAACTGTGTGCGCTATCTGAGCACTCTCTTTCATGACATCTCCAAGCTGTCCCGTCAGCACAAGTGCACCTTTCCCTTCCCCTTCCTCCACTTTTGCTGTTTCGATGTACAAAGTAGAACCACCCATAGCAGTCCAAGCTAAACCCATGACCACTCCAACAGGCGTCTGCTCATATATACGCTCAGCCTGGAACACAGGTTTCCCAACAAAATCGCCAAGGTTTGATGAATCGACCACAACCTTTTCAATTGCCTTGTCTGCTGCATCTTCTGCTGCTCCATCTGTGTCCTTGTTGCCCTACAGAATACAGGAACCAGTAACAAACATCATAATATAATATTGTTTGATTTGTTTCCCACTCTCCTGAGTCTATATTGCACATTTGTTGAGTGAGCTAGCAATCGCATAAGTGGTTTTCAGGCCAACACAATGGACACAGACAGGGAACATTGATGTCCAGTATCTACAAAATTATATTTGACCAACCAACAATACCCGGCTGCCATACACAAGGATAAGCAGTGTGTCAATCAGCAGAACAGATACAATGTAGAGGACCATTTTGCACATTAACAGGCAAGGGGCAGTACAAAATTAAGTGTGAATACTTTGTTTGAAAAAAATAATAAAACCAACGAATGACACACTATACCTTAGATGTGTTGTCTTCTTTTGGTGCTTCAGTTGTCAAAATTACTTCATTAGCTTCCTCAGAGGCAGGATTTGTAACATTATTGGCGACTGAAGCATCTTCTACAGCAGGATCCTTCAAGATCTCATCTTTTGCTGTGGTGCTATCACCACTACTAGATTCCTCACTTACAGTGACACTGAGAGACTCCTGGTCTGGCTCATTCGATACCCCTTGGCGAACAAGCTGCAGAGCTATCTGCGGAGGTAAAAAGTTTGTAAGGTATTTCAGAAGAGTATGATCATATCGGCCAGCAAAGGATGTATGGCATGATCATATTGGCGAGCAGAAGATATTAATGGAAGCATTGACTCTAAAACTAAAAGCAACCTTTCATACCATACCAATGCCTTGAGGTTGCTTAACCATTATCAACAATCAGCCAACATTTTTTCCCCTCTCTGAGGGGTCAGATCAGTATGCAGAAATTATTTTACACACCTTACGGTAAATTTTCTCAATCTGCTTTTGAAGGTTCCTCACTCCAGCTTCTCGGCAGTAATTTTCAATGAGAGCAAGAAGAGCAGCATCTGTAACTTCAACCTGTAGATGTGGATGGCTGAACAGTTAAGTCCAAAATTGATAATAACGTGGAATCGGAAATAAGAAGCAAGTGTATTGGCCTATTGGTACACTTCACATGCTGCTGAAACTGTGTCAGTATAGATTAGGTGGTTTACGCATACAGACATTATAAAAGCATAGAGTTTACAACAATTTTCCCCTTCTTTGTGTTGTTTGTTTTTTTATTATGGAAATTCCAAGGTTGCTTTAAAAACAAATGTTCTATGCTTAATAATTTATTCTCATGCACATAATATTGAATGAAAGGAAGATTATAAGAGAAGTGTCCAAGATACCTGTTGAGGCTTTATGCCACAAGCCTGTCTTGTATTCTTCTCTAGATAGTCCCGAGCAATATGCATCTTTTCATCAGTTATATACCCAGCTATAGCAATAATCTCCATTCTATCCAGTAACGGATTTGGTATCATCTCTATTACGTTTGCTGTGCAAACGAACAGAACCTAATTTTCATAAACAAAGTTTTAGAAGATGACAAGAATATTACAAACAGATAGCATGAAATAAATAGTTAAACACGACTGAAGACACTCGAAACAACAGGAATAAAAAAAGGTTGGAGAGGCAGAGGATTGTGTGGAAGTTATGCACTTGAACTCTTGAAGTGTACCGAAGACCATCCTACTGCTACGGATCTCATTGTATAGAACAAAACATAATACTAAGGATGTTGCTTTGGTGCAACCTACTAATCACAACTTACAGTAGTACACTAGCACTTAGCAGCATTGCATGTGAATGATATGATAGCACGATAATCAGCAATGCGCGTACCTAATGATAACAGCAAGATGCGTGAGAATGCAAGACAATGAGATAATGATGACAACTAGCAATCTGTTAAGAATAAGCTTGTTGTCTATATTTAAAAGAATAAACATGGCAAAAAATGTTAAATTATGAAGCCAACCACACGTAGACAGTCAAACAGGCAACTCCTGAGGGAGCAAGGACTAACCTTGGATAGGTCAATAGGAACATCAAGGTAGTGATCTAAGAAATTAACATTCTGCTCAGGATCGAGGAGTTCCAACAATGCACTAGCTGGATCGCCAGAATGCCCCTTCCCAAGCTGCAAGACAGACAAGTAAAAGTTAGCGTTAATAAAGCATGCACACAAGTTGTCACATTGAAGAAAGTAACTGTTGAAAGTCCATTCTGTGTCAAAGACTCAAAGTGCATCACAGGCCATTATGCAAGTATATAATGCAGGCTATTATTAGCCATTTAGCATCTCAAGCAAAATAAGACCAAATGGACCATAACCAGTTGTTTGAGCACCTTGTCAATCTCATCTATCAATACTAGAGGATTTGCTGTCCCAACTGATTTAAGACACTGCACCATCTTCCCTGGCATTGCACCAACATACGTGCGTCGATGGCCCTGAGATTGTTGAAAAGTTACTTATACAACCACATGCAACTGTACATGACATCAGCAATATCTGTTTTGTACCTTGATTTCAGCCACATCAGCCAAACCTCCAACAGAAAACCTGTAGAACTGGCGGTTCAGTGCACGTGCAATTGAACGACCAATACTGGTTTTTCCAACTCCTGGTGGCCCAGAAAGACATATGATCTTGCCTGTTGTAAAAGATGGACAGAGTTATTGGTAGAATAACTACAGGATGGACAATGAGGAATCAAGAAATTTAGTGAGCACTGTAGGTTATTGTTACGGACCAGATGGCCATGGACCAGCTGGACCATACCATGGTCCATCCTAGACCAGCCATAGCCCATGTGGCCAGGGGGCACCGCCGTCGGCCGCCCTAGCCAGGCTGCACGCAGGTGGAGGTGTGACCTTCCAGAGTCAATAGGTTTTGAGGTAATAAATCTATTTCTTAGGCAAGTATCTTGATAAAGTTAGGAAGTAAGGGATCATGTTTACATAGGGTGTCTTGAGTGCCAAGTCGAGTCTCCTCTATAA